TGGAAGGCAGCTCTGGTGGCACTTCTGTGGCGAAAGTGTTCGTTGCATTCCAGGCAGTTTCTGAAGACAGCATTGCTTCTACGGTTGACTCTGGTTGAATTGACTTCTTCAGGATCTTCTCCAGCTCCTCACGTTATTGATTGAAACGCGAGCACTCGAAAAAAACGTGCTCTACATCTTCAGTGGCTCCAGGGCAGGACGGGCACTCCGGAGAGTCGTCATGCCTAAAGCGGTGAAGATAAGCCCGAAAGCAGCCATGTCCTGACAACATCTGTGTTAGGTAGTAGTTGACCTCACCGTGATTCCGGTTTAGCCAAATGTCGATCTTTGGTATGAGACGATGCGTCCATCTACCATTTTCTGCGGCATCCCACTGAGATTGCCATCGTGCGATGCTGTGCTGTCTTTGTTCCGTTCTGAGTTCTTCTGCGCTCAGTGTTGTTGACCTCTTTCGTTGGTAAAGGTTCCGTCTTTCTTCAGCTAGGACTCTGAGAGGTAGAGTTCCAGAAATGACGCACACTGCTTCCTCAGATATTGTGCGGAAGGCGCAAGCTACTCTTAGGGCACTCAGACGGTATACTGGCCCAGCCTTTCTCCATGCTTCTTGTAATTCTAGCGCATCAGCCCAAATGGATATTCCGTACGTAAGCACTGATGTGACTACAGTTGCCAACAATAGTCTCCTACTCTGCTTTGGCCCTCCGACGTTAGGCATCAGTCGTGCTAGACTAGCCCTCACTACTGATGTGTGTGTGTGTGTGTGTGTGTGTGTGTGTGTGTGTGTGTGTGTGTGTGTGTGTGTGTGTGTGTAAACCTCTTGTAACTTTTGAACGGCTTGACCGATTTCATCGCGATTGGTGTCATTCAAAAGGGCTTCACTAAACTTAGATTTCCTGAAAATTTGAACCGATTCGGACCGGTAGATTTCGAGAAAATGCAAAAAAAGTGGAAAAAAAAATTGTTTTTGTTTATTTTATTTAAATATCTCCGAATTGGCTGAACCGATCGGTCTCAAAAACTAATCAGCTCTTAACCTTGAAAACCCCCATCGATCGCCACCAAAAACGTTAGAATCGGTTGATGCGTTCGTGAGATATCGTTGTCGAAAAAAATCGAAAAAAGTGTTTTTTTGTAATAACTTCGAAATTCATGGCTCGATCGATTTAAACTTGATAATTTTCCATGGAGCTTCAAAAACTGCGTCGATTGCCGCCAACCGCGTGAAAATCGGTTCATTCATTCAAAAGTTATTGCCGTTTGAAAATTCAAAAAATTGTGTCTTTAAACTGCTATTAGAGTTTTGAGCTCGAAGAGCTCAAATTGACACAAAAATAATATTTTTGAGCTCGAAGAGCTCAAAAACGTAATGTGTAGTTTGAAGCGTTTAAGTACAAAATGAGCGGGAAGTTGCAGGGATGGCCTTTAGGGTGAACCGTTTTTCTAATTTTTTTTTTTTAAAGTTTCTTAAAAATGTAGAGTAATTCGAAAAATATATGAAATTCATTTATTTTTACTTAATTGATAAAAAAAAATTAATTTTATAAATAAAAAATTCTAAAATATCAATTTCTCAATTAAAAAATATTTTGTGAAAAAATTGAACAGTACAAAATTAAATAAAAAGTTTTTAGAGGAATTTCGAAATTTTTTTTTTAATTTATACATTTTATCTTTCTTATAATTTATACCGTAAATCTGCCATAAAATATATTAATTAAAAAAACTTAAAAATGTAAATTTGCCGATTCTTAGACTTAAAAAACCCAGTGATTGTATAACAAAATTATCACTCAGATTTGGCTTTATTTGATACTATTAAGTCAGATCCAGCTTGATAAAATTGTATCAGAACATATCAAAAAATTAGAAAACGGGCATATCAAATTATATCAAGCCATATCAGAATATATCAATAAATTATCTATAGATATATCATATTATATCAGCCCAGATCAAGCCATATTATATCAGCCCAGATCAATTATATCAAACCAGATCAAGCCATATCAAGCCTGATCAAGCTTTATCAGGCCTGATATGGCCAATTTGCATATCAGGTCATATCAGGTTATATCAGGACCTATCAAAAATTATACATGGACGTATCAGATCATATCAGGCCTGATATGATTATATCAAAAATTTTGATATGGCTATATCAGGACATATCAAGTCTGATCAGAATATTTTTTCACAGGCTGTGCCTCTCTAACTCAAAGACTCTTCTGTTTTCAAGAGAAAAACTCACTATTTTACTCTAATGAATATTTATTAAATTATAGCGCAGTTAAGCGTGCACTAGGGCCGATAACCTTTCAGGATATTAGGTCAGGTGAAGGGTTATTATTAATAGCAATAACGCTGGATAATTAAATAAAGCAACTCTTAATATATTCTGTAACTCTCTTATACAAAAGTAATTAATACGTAAAGGGCAACCCGAGTAAAAAAATTGATATATAATTTTATGTACTTATATGTTATTATATATTACTTATATATAATTATATATTACTTACATATAATTATATATGATTATATGTAATTATATATAATAATATATAATTGGATGCAGTATTTTTTTAATAATTATATATAATTACATATAATTGCATATAATTGCATATAATTATATATGATTATATATAATAATATATAATTAGGTGTAGCATTTTTTTAATATCATATATAATTATATACAATTACATATAATTATATATAATTGCATATAATTATATATGATTAATCATTGATTATATATAATGATATGTAAACTGATAAAAGGATTTATTAACTATTAGAAATTTAATTTGTTTGAAGACAATTTTTTAATTTATTAAATTTTAATAAATGTTTTTTAACATTCAATAAATATTTATTTGCGAGGAAAGTACATTTATTAATACGGCTGCCCAATTTCAAAACACAGTAACTAACATTTAAAAATTTTTAACAATTTTTCTTATTAAAAAAAAGTTTGCCCGCCAAATTAATGACAAATTTGATTTATGAATAGAAACTACTCAAATATAAATATTTTTAAGAAAAAATACTTGAAATTAAGGTTTAAAAGTTATAAAAAATGCAGCAATACTAAAAAAAAATCAGGTATAAAAATTTTGCAGTTACTGTGTTTCAAAATTGGGCAGCCGAATAGTTAATAAGTATTTATTAATAGTTTATTTTTATTTATTTTATTTAATTAAATTATTTGCTTACAAAGATAACTTATAGCAAAGTGTGACTAGGATGAGTACAATTTGTAACATTAGAGCCACGATTAATAACTAGAGTATGAGTATAATACAGTAGGGCTTTACATTTAAACCGGTTAAGCCGGTTAACAAAGTTAACCAGGTTAACTAATTAGCTAACCATCAGCTTAGCCGGTTAACTTAAATTAGCTAAGCTAATTAGCTAAATTTTTAACCGGTTAACCTAAATTAGCTAAGCTAATAAGTTAATCAGCTAATTTTTTAACTGGCTAAAAAGTTGAATCAATTTTCAAAATAGATATATGTATATATAATTACAATTGTGACGCAATGGTAAAATTCAATTCTGAGTTCAATAAAATTAAATGATGCTCATTTTTAGATCAATTTATTACGTAATCTCTAATATAAACAATTTGAATTAATATTAAATTAACAGGCCTGATTGTTTATCAACAACTTTTAATCAGTTTCTTCTATAATTTCTCGATTTTGATACAAGAATATCAACAAATTAGCGTTTTCAGGTAATAAACAACTCCTTTTTGTGGAAATAATATTTCTTGCTGTTGAAAACACTCGCTCGGACGGTGTACTCGAGGATGGGACGCCCAAATATCTTCTTGCATAAGTAGCTAAGATTGGATATTTATGCTGCTTCGACTTCCACCACAGCAGAGGATTATCTCCTTTTGGGATAGTTAATTCTCTGTCATACTTGTCAATTTCTTTTTTAATAGTAGTCTTATTTTCAAAACTTAGTGCTCGCTCAAGGTCCCCTGATAAACCTCGTTCAGGATCGAAGAGGTACTCCAAATCTTTTTCCCTTTGATCTTTGGCCGAAGTTTGAAACTCATGATGAGTATTCTCAATTGATATTACTTCTAACAATGTATCTTTAACTTTTTGTCGATACGATTGAGATTCATCACGCAAATCTTTATACCTGAAATATAAAGTATAATTGACTATGGTTAATTAATATAGTGAAAACATTATAAAATGAAAATTTGTTGAAACAACACAGAAAGAAAGGTTCACTTGAGCCAAGAAAATATTTTTCTTCATAATTATTTACTGGGGCGAAAAAAAAAATTTTTTTGACACAAGAAATTTCACTTATTCCAACAAATCAATTCTCTTGCTTCAAGAAATACGTTTCTTAATCCAAGACAATTTATTTAAGTTAAGAAAATTTTTCTTGTCTTGAGAAAATTTCTCTCTTACTCCAAAAAATTAAGTTCTTGACAGAAGTAAATTTTCTTGTCTTGAGAAAATTTTTCTCTTGCTCCAAAAAATTAAATATCTTGATAGTAAATTTTCATTAATATTTCTATTGACTAACATGTCAAATGGGAAGATCAAATAATATTGAATCATTTTTTTTCATTCAATATGTATAATTGCGCGCTAAAATGATCTAAAATGGGTATCAAATATTCAAGAGAAAAATTTTCGCAAGATGAGATAATTTTTTTCTCAGCTGAAGTTGGTGGCGCTACTTCCCTAAAGTATCTAAAAATCTTGATCAAATATAAAAATTTATTGTATCAAGTATTTATGATAATTTGAATTAAGAAAAAATTACTTCCACCAAGAATAGAATTTCAAGAAAAATTTTTACTTCGGCCAACACAACTTCGGTCTTCCTTCGGGCGACCGAAAATTTACTTGAGCCAAGAATTTTGTTCTCCAGTCAAGAAATCTTTCTCTCTGTGAAGAGCGATTTTGCATGCACACAAGTGTGTCAGACTTCTCATTGACTTCGAATTAAATGTGAATGTAATAAATACCGAGGATCCAAGTAGCATGCGAGCCCACACAAAGCAACACTTGTAGTTTTTAAGAACCTATTTCTTAACTTTTCTTCCAATATATCCTTCAATAAGTGAATTTCTCCGCTGTCGTCATCTTTGGGTTGTAAAAATTTTTTTATAATTAAATGAACGGTTGGTCGAACCATCGCAATTGTTGATTGTGATTCCGAGGACATTATTCTAGTAGCAACATCAAAAGGTTCTAAGATCTTTTTAACATCAATTATGTAATCCCAATCATCATTGCTCAGCAGCAATTTTTTCATTGATTCTGGGGTTGTTACTTCTTTATCTAATAAAACACATGTTATTGCTTCTCGTTGTTCAATAACACGTTCGATCATTACAAAAGCAGAATTCCAGCGAGAAGGACAGTGACTTATTAATCGATGATTTGGCAAACGGTATTTTTTTTGAGCTGAAGTTAGAGCTGTACTCGCTTTATTTGAGTGCTTGAAATGCCCTACTACAGCAGAAATTTTGCGTAAGCATTCTGATAAAACGTCATTTTTTAGAGCCCACTCAACAACACATTGTAAGGAATGACAGAAACAACGAACGCTCACATCTATTTCACTGTCATTGCTCCAATAATCTCGGATGGCAGCAACCATGTACGGTGCATTATCATGGACAACAGCTATAACTTTTTCATATAGATTCCAACTTGATAGTCCTTTTAAATGATTGTACGTATTCCTCGCTGTGTGACTTTCGGACATCTCTAATGTATCCAGTGTAAATGAACGGAGGTTCCATTGGTCATCAATGCCGTGTGCAGTGATTGTGACAAATGAATGATTGGCACGTGAAGACCAACCATCGGTTGTAATCGAAATATGCGGAAAATTATTCAGACTCGAAATCAATTTGTTCCGAACAACGTCATAAATGCCCTGCAGACGATTTCTAATAACTGATCCGCTTGGTTTAGTATACTCAGGACAAACAGTCCTTAGAAACTGCTCGATTCCGGGTCCTTCGGCAAACGATAATGGAAGCATATCCATAGCGATCATTTTAACCAAAGAAATAGTTATAGCTTCAGACATTGGATTCTTAAAAAAACAAAAAAAATATCATCAATGAACTTGATATAATTTATAAATACATGAATAAAATTCGCAAACTGACAAAATACATAGAATGTTGACAATTAACTTAATTTTTCAACAAAATTACTTACGTTGCGAGCATAATATTTTCTATTAGGTAATTTGCGACGTTTCTCACATAGTCATCATTATTTTCAGTGCTTTGGCCTGGTTTAGGATCTAGATTATTCGTAGTTAGTCTTCTTCGTTTATTTGTAGTAGAACTCAATTCAATTTCATCTTCAGATCTATTACATTCATAAATTTCAGTTTAATTATTGATAACAGTGGTAAATGAAAATAAAAATACTTATTTTTTTTTTAATTAAAAGCATTCAATTTATAACATAAAAAAATTGAGAATTTACGTACTGAGACTCGGAATCACATTCATTAATTGAAGTAGCAGCTTGGAGTTTGTCAGCATGTTTATTTTGTATGTGGTATCGCAATGATGAAGTAGTTTTTTTAACATTATATTGAACTTCACAATATTTACACTTTGCATATCCACTTGTAAGTCGAATAAAATGTTTCCATAACGACGACATAATGAATAACAATTTGACTCCGTATTTTTTGTGTTAAAGTGTGTTTATCAACAAGTAGTTAGTGTTTACAAACAGAAACAGGTGATCGTAAACAATGAATTGCTATTCCTACCACCTATCGGCCAAACACTGACCTAAATATTTTCAAAATTTTCTATTGTACACACATCAACTTTTGGCGCAAAATTTAAAAAAGGCCTTAAATAAAATCTTACTATAGCAATCAAGTTCGTTGATAAAGTGATTGATCGAAAAATTAATTTAACTTTTTAGCCGGTTAAAAAATTAGCTTATTAGCTTAGCTAATTTAAGTTAACCGGTTAAAAAATTAGCTAATTAGCTTAGCTAATTTAAGTTAACCGGCTAAGCTGATGGTTAGCTAATTAGTTAACCTGGTTAACTTTTTTAACCGGCTTAACCGGTTTAAATGTAAAGTCCTATAATACAGCATATACTTATACTTAAAATACTTAAAATAAGGCGATTATTAGCGTAAGTAATTTTGTCACCATCATGAATTAATATGCGTAGTCTCGTAATACATATGAAATATGAATTCCGACAGGGTTCAAAGGGCGGACTTGAGAATAGATTCCGGTTATTGGGGGTAAGAGTTTTTGAGTTTTTTGTTTAGCTTGGTGTCAGATCTACTCATTCATATAGAAAGCTCGCAGCTTAAGCGCTTTGGTGAGAAATAAATACAGGTTTTTTGACTTCGTGTGGTCTAGGTCAGTATACAAATTAGTTAGTTTAACTTCGTCATCAACACCTTCGGTGAGGAGCGGATTGATATAATGCTCACGGTATGAATGATAGATAAGACACTCTAGGATTACATGTTTAAGGTTTTCAGGTACATTTAGATTACATATGGTACAGATCTGTTTGGGGTAAAAGATGAAATGAAAGCGCTTGTAGCTGAGTTTAAACATGTGATTGTTATAGGTAATTAGCTGTGTCCGAGTTGAGCGATCTGGGTATGTGAATTTGGCAAGAACGACTAGAATTAACTTTATCTAGATCCACGCTTGTAAGATGGTCAGAGTAGGAGCTGAGGATGCTGTTGATATGCCTTCTCCAGAAAGAGCTGGAGAGGTTATCCCAGAGAGTCGTAGGTGCCTTGAAGGCGTCCAGGACCTCTTTAAGTTGTAAAACCCAGTTATATTTTAGATTAGTGTCTCTATTTTTTGCAAGCTTAATTAATTGCAGCAGGCAAATCTTGGGTAGTCTATGATTGGGCATGTCCAAAACTTTACAGACCCAACTCAGGGCCATCTTAAGAACCTGAACCTTTACATTTCTTATCCTTAGTTCTAGTTTAAGATCAGCACTGGGCGTGCCGAGTGGGAGAAAAAGAAGACGCTTGAAGAAAGAAAACTGAGTTATTTCAATATGATTAAGGTAACGAAGCCCCCATATGTGTGAGGCATATAAGAGAGTGCTGGCCACAATGCTATCAAAGATTTTAAGCATGCTCTCCCAAGAATCAGCTTTGATTGCGGCGAGAGTGGAGATCGCTGCTCCAACAGCTGTTTTGGCCCTCTGGGAGGCATTTTTTGAGGCCAGCAGCCCTAGTGATGAGGTGGTGAAAGGAAGTCCTAAGTACATGTAATGATCAGTCCACTCTATCAATTCACCGTTAAGATGCAGCTTCGTCTTCTCCCCTGGGCCACCTTTTCTAAAATTCATAGCCTTAGTTTTTTGGATGTTTACAGTTAGAGCATTTATCCTACAGTAATCTTCTAGGATTACTAATTTCTTGCGCAGGTCTCCCACAGAAGAGGCCAGTATTATTAAATCATCCGCATACAGAAGCATTAATAGATCATGAGAGCAGTCTATCCTGGTACCCACGACCCTCCTTGCTCTAAAGAAGTCAACTATGTCGTGTAGATATAAGATGAAGAGGGTCGGGCTGAGGATTTCTCCCTGTAAGACCCCCTCAGTTATGTCAAACTTATTGGAGAGGTGATGTCCAGATTTGACTTGAAACTTTGCAAGGTTATAAAGATTTCTTAGGATTTTAATAAGCTTGGGGCTAACTCCCAAGTTGAATAATTTTTTCCAAAGAAGGTCGTAGGGCACAGAGTCGAAAGCCCTCCGGAAGTCAACGAAAAGGCCGTGCAGCTGGCTCTTCCTGTTGCACAGGTTGAGTTGTATAGTCGCGAGTAGAGTGAATATATTATCATCACAGCTTCTTTTAGCGATGAAGCCGGCTTGTTCCTCGGGTAGTGCCTTAGTCTCATTTATCCAAATAGTTAATCTATTCTTAAGAATTGATGTAAATATTTTAGTGATTACATTGACCAAGGCCAGGCCTTTGTAATTGGAGGGGTCTGTCTTATCACCTTTCTTGTGCAACATGAAGAGGGCCACACGGGACCATTCACTGGGTAACGTTTCGGTGTCTATTATTTTATTAAAAAGCGTCTGCAAATATAAAAGCCCATTATTAGGTAATGATTTATAGAATTCACAGGGTATTGTATCGCGGCCAGGTGCCTTACCGCTCTTCAGATCATCAATGCTTTTGATTATTTCATCAGAAGTAATGTAACTAATATAACTGATGTAATCAATGCCCAGGAAGTTGGACCATACCAGGTCTATTACAGATTTGCCTCTGGCTGAGCAGTAGGTAAATTGAGCCGGGACATCACCAGTGGTTCTGCCATTGAGAAGAATAAAACCGCTTGTTTGAAAGAAATCAAAAATCTGCGACCCCCTGGAGTTAAGAACGCGGTCCGAGGAGGTACGGAGTGACGTTAGAACAGTGCCCGTGAGGGCTTTTTCCTGAATATAGTCAGCTTCACCTACACGCGCATCGAAATCCCCACCTATAAATAATGCTGCTGCCGGGTATTTGTGCTGGATGTCCGAAATGACATCCTGTAACAAGTCAAGATGAGGGGAAAGGTCGCTGTTAGGTTTGAAGTATATTGAGCCCAGGACAAAATCCTAGTTGGCAGCAGAAAATCTGGCGAAAAGCCACCAGGGAGATGAATCAAGAATCTCGCAGTCGAGATTGTTTTTATAACCAATAATAAGACCACCACTTGCACGTCCCAAGCTGTGAATCCGGAGAGCCTGTGAACAAGTATATTTAATTTATAGTTTGTAAAAAATTTAGGAAGAAAAATAGAATTATCCATTACCCATGTTTCAGTTAAACAAAATATATCCGATTTGCTAATTGAACGGTTGCTGCTGAGGCTCTTAAAGCCGCAGCAGTTCCAGAAATCTATTCTCAAATAACGTTAATTTGTAGAGGGTGGTGAAGTTGCAGCTGGTTTAGCAGAAGATTCGTCCGGAGAAGATCCATTGGTCGAGGAGTGGGTGATAGCCGATGAACCGTTCAGGAGCTGGTCGAAGTTTGTCTCCCAATAATGCCATGTACCATTGATCTGCAGGTGCTTGTTCCCAATTTTGACACGGTGACCAGCCTCTCTCAGGTTTCTCGCCTTTTGCCTGATTTGAGCATCAGTTCTGCGTTCTTCGGGTGTTTGATCATGCTATATGTAAATCTTCTTGGACCCTAGGGTTTTCTTTTTGCTCATAATTAGATTTTTGTTGGCTAGCGAGTTGATTTTGGCTCTAATGACAGTGCGAGAACTGCCGAAGAGATTGACTTGTTCAACGCAGTCAGAAACACCAAAGGAATCCTTTAAAAACTTTTCCACGAGGCCTTTAACATTCTGTCTATTTGTGTTGCTGAGTTCGAGGCCTTTGATGATGATGTTTGCTTGACGAAGATGCTTGTCAAGAACAGTGAACTTGTTGTTCATCTCTGTCATGTACTGAGTAAGTTCCTGGTTGTGAGCCGAAGGTGACACAGAAATAGCAGGAGAAGATAGTGAGATGGAGTTTTCCGCCGTCCTGGACTCCAGCTTTGTTAAACGGTCTTGAAGTTCTTCAAACTTTTTATTCGTGGTAGAATCGTTGGCTGAGACACTATCTTCGAGTTTTTTGAATCTGATAGAGCTAGATTCCTTGAGGGCAGAAACTTCATCCCTTAGGTCGTCAATAAAAGCAAGTTTGTTTTTCATTACATTCTCTATGTTCTCTGTCAGTGCCTTCACAATTCCTTCTTGCAGTGTCAGCAACGTAGCAGGGTCTATCAAAAGACGTTTTTTTGCCGGGGTATGTTCATGTACATCATCGTCGGCGGAAAGTTCCCTTTCGCACTTTCTTTTCAGTAGGTCTAGTGGATTGCCTAATACATCCATGTTGAGTTTGTCCCAGCTGTCAGCGAGTCTGGGTCGACCTTTATGGGTAGTATTATGGTGTGACTGGCTCCCTCCATCGGGAGTTTGAGTGCACTGCTGGGCGGCCAAGTTGGAAAGCACGCTTCCTTCATTATCCATTGTGTGAGGAACTAGAGAGGGACTTGAGACGAGAGAGATAGAGCTGGGTGTGTAGAGGTTAGAATAAGCAGCGTGATAAATAAATTCGCGTAAACTGAAGAACCTCGGGACATACACTTGAGATTAAACTCATTCTAGGTACAGAATTTTTTATGCCAAACACTAATATAAAAACAATGACACGAAAGGGCCTATAAACCAGTAGAACTTAAAAAATAATTGGACCAGAGAGTAACACTGTTGTCAGTTAGGCAGCCATTTTCGAACTCATTTATTAATAGTCAACAAATATTTGTTAACTGTTAACAATTATTTATTAACATTTAATGAATCGTATTTAATAAATAATTTATTAACTGTTAATAAATATTAATTAAGTCCTATGATGTTAAAAAATCATTTATTTATAGTTAATAAAGCTTATTAAATATAAACAAATCCTTCTATCAATGCAACTATACGGAAATCATATATAATTATATATGAATCATATACAATTGTATTTAATTTTTTTATCTAAGAGTCTGCTACTCCAATCATTAATAATCTATTGATCTATAGTATTTTTTGTAGATTAAATAATAAGAACTGCATTAATTCAGTTAACTTATAAAAATTGATTATGTTTACGATTTGCATTAGTTGTAGTTACTTCAACCTCTGTTCTACAAGTAAGTCTCAAGTAGGTAAACAGGTAGCGCGTCAGTCTTTAAAGCGTCAGGTCCCCGGTTCGATCCCCGCGCTCGCCGGATTTTTTTTTATTTTTCTAGAAATAATTATATATGATTCTATATAATTATATCTAATTATATATAATTATATAGGGCCATTTTTCATATATAATTATGTATAATTATATATAATCTTTTTTACCCGGGAAGCGTCCAAGCTCAAGTGAGGACTCGAGGCCCCGAGAGCGCTCGCATGCGCGCGCAACTCCCCTCCATCTCTTCCCGCTCCACGTTCTGACAAAGCCTCTCTAATAGTTGAGAAAATAATTATCAAAATTATCACAGAGGCAGAGGTTTTAAAATATAATTTACGTTTTGTGAAATTACAGGCTCAGAGCCCAGGCTCTTAGTTCCATGCATGACTCGACGTAGTTGGCAATCGCGAATATTTTTTTGACATTTGAAGTTGCTAGCAGCTTATCGATGGTTCTTTTTTTTTTGAGTGCATGCACTAAGAAAGTGGTGAAGATTGTCAGTTTCGTGTAGATTGCACAGTGGGCATAGATTGTTTGGCAAGAATTTGATTGACTGCATTTTTGGATTAAGATAGCAGTTATATTTATTGGCAAGTCTCGACTGCACAAGGATGCGCTTAGTTGGAAGAGGCAGCTTCAACAGCAGGTACTTGGCTGGTGTATATTGGTCTGGTCTGGTTAGTTGGAATTCGAATGAACTGAAACTTCTTGAAGCACTTATGTCCTTGAATAGTAGAATTGCAAGATATTTCTGAAAGACGCTGCCTGTTTTTGCTTCCCAAATAAGAGAATCTAGAGAATCAAAGAGGTCGATAGCTCCACATTCAGTTAAAAAATCTCTCAGTAAAGTAGCCCAGTTATATGGCGAAGTAGTCGTAGTATTTTTGGCTAGTTCAAACAGGCGAATTAAACAAATTTTATGCAGGCAGGTATCTTTTGCTCTGAGAGCTTTAATCAACCATCTCCACAGACAAAGCATCGCTTTCTATGCAACTGGAACAAGGGCAAACTCTAGCCGTACAGCCTAGTCAGCCGAATTTCGGGAAAGTTTAAAGAGTTTTTTGCAGAAATAGGTTTGAACGGGCTCCAGTGAGTTGCGGTACCAAAGATTCCATGCGGGGAAAGTATACAAGAAAACAGACTCAACCATGGTCTCGAAGATTTTGTTGTAGGCTTCCCACGAGTCATATCTAGCCCTAGCTAATATGGACATGGCAGCTCCCGAGGCGCATTTAGCCTTGCTAATAGCTGTTTGTAATGGAATTAGGCCCTTTGTTGACGTAGATATGTTGACACCCAAATAAGAGTAGCTTTTGACTATCTCCAAACACGAGCCCTTGTACATTCTGTATTGCGGTGTGCAATCACGAATCCTCTCAGCAGCTTTAAAGGTGACAATCTTGGCTTTTGATTTATTGGCAGTAAGCCCACTTGCGTCGCAGTACTCTTCTAGCATTCTGAGTTTTCTTAACAAATCAATAGGAGAGTGAGCAAAGATGACCGTGTCGTCAGCGTAGAGAAGCATCAGGATGTCAGTTAGTCCGTTAATACTAAGGCTGTAAAGGCCTTTGGATCTGAATAAATGTTCGATGTCAGCTATAAAAAGTAGAAACAGATCAAGACTTAGAGCCTCTTCCTGCAAGACACCCTCGGTGACCTCAAACACGTTCGATTTGGATTCCATTCCTTTTACTTGTAATGAGGATTCGTTATAGAGCGATTTGATTGTGTTGATGAACTTAGTACTCAGCGATAATCGATAGAGCTTTTCCCAAAGAAGTGTGTGAGGAACCGAGTCAAACGCTCTTTGGAAGTCCACAAAAATGCCAAATATCTCTCTCCAAGATGTAAAAATCTTGGTGATTGTATTGATAAGGGTAATACCACGGTAGTTAGCTGGGTCAGTCTTGTCACCCTTTTTGTGAATCATGGTCATAAGTGTGGTTGTCCAGGTTCTAGGGACACTCTCTTCTTCGAGTGCCTTGTTGAATAGGCTTCTAAGGATTTCGTTGTGTTGCCAGTTAATGATTTTAAAAACTCGTTTGTTACAAGGTCAGGACCAGGGGCTTCGCCTGATTTTAAAGATATAAGCGTAGAGTCCAGCTCAGAGAGAGAAATTTCAGCATCTATGATATTGTTGGCAATCTTTGGAGCAAGAGGTGGGATGACAATTCGAGATTTATAGATTGTGGCATAAAAGGCATTCCACATCTCACCGGAATTTCACAATGTGTTCCTTTTCTGTAGCTAAATTTTTTCACCGCAGCCCAGAAGTTGATAGGAACGGACGCGTTGGCAAAAGCGTTCTTGATGCTCAAGATGTAGGCTTTTTTTTTTCTTGGCAAAGGCTTCGGTAAATACTCTTGCAATTTGACACTTCCTGGCACGCAATAAAATTGAGTTGATCTTTTTTATAATTTCGTAGTGCTTTACGGAAATTTCTTTTAGCATCTTTGCAGCTTTTGTCGTACCATGGGGTGCGGGACGTTTTTTCACTGTCGGCTACTTTTGAAATTTTAATTAGTCCTGCCTTTTCAGCTGCAGAGTGAATAGAACATAGCAGCCGGTTGTAAGTTGTGTTAGTTGAAACGGTCAGTGCATTCGGGAGGTCTCTTGTGCACTAAGCAGGTGGTTTTAGTATCTCGGTTCAGCTTCCTCGGACCAGACAATTTTTTTCCTTATACTTGGAGTGACTTGAGAAGAACAGGCAAGATGTTGGACAGGTGTTTCAGTTTGAATAGTCAGAAGAACAGGCCGATGGTCTGAGAGAGATGGTTCTAGAATGACTTCTAGATCCATTATCAAGTGAAGCGAAGAGATGTCGACCGAAACCAGGTCAATTATTGAAGTACCAAGATTACCGTAAGTGGGCTGAGCGGGGGAATAACTAATTGTTCTGCCATTTAGAAGAATAAAGTCGTTATCAAGCATAAAGTCCATGAGCAGACATCTTCTGTCACATATTGTTTGATCTGTTGTAGAAGTTAGTGGGTTTAGAGGAAGCCCTGTGAAGAATTTCTCTGGCCAGGGGTTTAGAGATCCTACTCTGGCATTCAAGTCATCATTAATAATGAATATATCGTATGAACGAGAAGATTTAATGCCATTAATTACCTCTGTCAGTATATCGAGTAGGTATCGAAGGTCAAGACATTTTCTTAGGTAAACTGAGCCGAGGATCAACACTGTGGATCCCATCAGGACTTTGTTGAAGATCCACTAGGGAGAGTCTTCTAGTAAAGATGCATTGAGATTGGCGTTAATTGCAGTGATTAGCCCCCCGCTAACTCTTCTGATGGCATGGTTTCTAATAGCATTAGACCAGAATATATTGTAGTTGGCAAGAAATGGTGGTGAGAACGCTGCGTTTTCCAGGTTTCGCATTCGGCTATGATGGAGGAGTAGTCGATTAACGAACTGTGTTGAAGGTTTGAAAAGCCGTGTAGATTCCAAAACGTCATGTGAGTCGATTCTGGCGGACTGCTCTCTAGTTTTATAAAAAATTTTTTGGGTCTGCGTTCACTTCCGGGATAAAGGAGCTTACAGTTTTTAGCTGCACAACAAGAACGTTTTTAGCGTCATTCCACGAATAGACTAAGTTATTCTTAGCGATCCTGTTACCTTTTCTGCTGAACTTGGTACCTTCACTCACCAGTTGCTTAATCTTAGCTTTTACATGCCAGTCTATTATCCTCTCTTTCGCAGTACGGTCCGGGTTGATAAAAATTTTTGTATCTGCTAGAATAGATTTTTTGTTCTTGAGAATATGCGATTTCAGTTCAAGATCTAACAGATTCACGATGATCCGTTTTAGGGATTCTTTCAGAGAGATATTAGAGCATGATATTCCGAATTTCGAGCTAAGAAAATTTATTAACTCGGAGACGTAGTCATTAGATGTAAAAGTGTACCCTGTAATAGAAATGTTTGTCTTATTACTTTCTTTTTCAAGGGAGTTCAGCATATTTGTGAGATATGAGATCTGATCATTGCTAGGAGTATTAACGCAGGGATTGAAATTGCAATTAGAGAAAGACGAGTCCGACAGTATGTTATTTAGTTGGTCCAGCGTGACCGCTTTTTTTTCTAGTTCTGTAATACGATTAGTCAGATCTGTCTTAGTTGCTTTAAATTCATCTTCTAGAGTCTTGAGAGTAGTCTTCATCTCAGTGAACGAAGCCTGATCTTTTGAAAAATTCTCTTAGTTTGTCTTTTAGCTCCTTGTGCTTTTCTTCTTGGCTGGTTCTAAGAGCAGAAATTTTACCGAGGATTCCGCTCCATGCCTGTAGATTGATCGGTGAAGTTAGACTTGACGGGACTTGGATCCTTGTTGAGTTTTTTAGGGGTTCGGGAATCAAGAACACGGTCTTCGGTCTGCAGAAAGTCTTCCTAAGTTCTTCTTTTCTTTGTTTCTACTGTAAAGTTCGTGATAGGAGTATACAATTGGCTGGCAAAAGCCAGTAGTTGCTGATTAGCCGGTCTGCCTGACTTTGGAGTAGTAGTAACCGGGGTTTTTACTTGAGAGTTACCGACGGTTGTAGGCGTGTTTGGACGAGATGGAGAGCTACCCGTGGCGAGACCCAAGATGGCGTAGGAATTCATAAGTTGCGTGGGCTGTATTAGCCGAGAAACATCCAACTCCTAACGTAGATGCTCTTAGCCAGACCAAAAAAAAACAGACACTGTTAAAAACAAAAAAACCCGTAGGTCCCACAATATTCACAAACTTAAAATGATAGAACTTAATTTTGCGCGTTAAAAGAAACTAATCACTTGAAATACAATATCGAATCATTATAGTTAAATAATAGAAACTTAGAGAGCACTCAGAAAGAGCGTCTTGACATTACAACGGTTCAGTGAGGCCCCTACCGGCCTAAATTAATTTTACAAAATTCTTAGTTGTAACTACTGTAACCGTAACACGTCTCATTTCATTTTCAAACTACAGAAATTTTCAGAAAAACCTACACTATCTAAATTACTCAATTACATTCATTATTCAAATTTTGTCTTGGAAATTTTTAACTAAATTAATTTATTATAGCCAAAAAGCCTGTAATAAATTTACTAATAAATTTGCTACCAGTTTAATTATAATCATTTAACTAAAATGATTTGTCATAGACATGAGGCCAATAACAAACTAACTAAATGATCTTGACGAATAATTTACGTATACAAGAACCAAATAATATAAAATAGCCACTAGTGACGGTAACGATTAATATTGGACAAAATTAATTACAATTATTTCGACTTCTTAATTAATTAAATAATAAAAATTGGCCTAAAATAATTATAAGAATACCTTAGGTTCAAATTCTTACTGGTCCCAACGGCGGCTGGTACTCCGGTAAAAATAGTGGGATTGGCTGCTTGGCGTTCGCTGGCTTCAATCAGTGTGCAGGCCTCCAGTAATAATTTTCCCAAACTTCAATTGCCCAATTAGGTTCTCCAATAGTTATTCTCTGAAAATTTAATTGAATAAATATCGTTTATAAAAACGACAGAAATTCTCTACGAGATTTTATACAATTAATAACTAATCACTCCGTTTCTTTATTCGTGAAGCCTCGTGAAAATAATTACTTACTTTTTAATTTTCGGTGACAAATCACACATTATCCACTGGATCCACACACTCGATTTCAAATAGACAAAAAGTCCTCGTTGCATGGCTACTGGCGTTTTTATAACCTCAGTGGCGGGGACTTTTAAGATTTGTGCAACCCGGTGACGAGTCGCAAAACTACTCAGCAAAAATCGGAAGGCAAGGGAAAGTCCTTACCCTACGTGTCACTAACAGATAATCAATTGAGATCTCCGCGGGAAAAATCGAATTCCCTGTCACAATATTATAGTTTTGATTGTCAATTTTCTAAATAGTCCAAATGTTATTTTATTTATTTCACTTTAGATCTCAAAAGGAAACGAAGTAAAACTGATGAAGAATTAACCTCAAAACGGCCTACAGTTTCTTTGAATTTATCTACGGAAAACCAGAAATTACCGTTTCAATACATGAACGCACAAAAAATGAACGAATTTCTGGAACGCATTGTTGAGTGTACTGAAAAATGGCGAACTCTTCAACTTGAAGATCTATATTTTTCACTTCAAACGATTATGAGTAAGCCAACAGCTGACATCCACACACGCATGTTTGACCATCTCTCAAATTATTTAAAACAATCAAAGTTTTATGATAAGTAAAATAAGGAGATCAATAAATTGTATGCATTTATAATTTTGTTATTTCTAAATATTTAATTTGATTTTGATCAATAGTCATAAATTTTTAATATACCTTAATTAAAACGAAATAAATAATGAAAGTTTTGAAAATATTCGTTCAAAATTACGTTCGAATTTTTAACCTCTCGCTATGAAAATCAATAGTTTTTAAAAAATCGGAATGTTATCGGTTTAATCTCGGTTTTCGAAAATTGAGTTCACATCATAGCCCACAGAAATTAGTCAGTTTTACCCAGTTTGGCTGTGCCAACTGGAAATTGATCGAAAAATTATAATATCTTAAAATTTCGATACCAAGTAGGTTAATATGAAATTCTAACAAGTATCTAATGGCGGTCTCAATTTGTTTATAAATAACAGGTAAACAAAAAAAAACGTAAATTAAAAATTAAATAACTCTGAAACTATTAATCTGGCGGGTTAAGTTTTCATATATAATTTGTAGAGCTTAAAAAATCTACAACTTTGCTTTTAGGTAAATTCCCGTCAAACTGATAGTTTATTAGTTATTAACAATCGAAGTTTTATAAACAAATTGAGCTAGCAAGCTGAAAAATCAACCGATTTCATTTTTGCTTTTCCCCACATATTTCTGGTAATAAAAGGAACATTTTTAACATTTTTCAAAATTTTTATCTAAAAAATTTGATTTTTAAAAATCAAAAAACCGCTTTTTTTTAGAAGCCAATATCTCCGAAACTAAATTTACTACAGCACTCGCACCTATTCTCGAAAATCTAGAATCTA